CCCCCCCCCCGTGCAACCATGCAGATACCATAATTCATAAATGGACACCAACACATTAAAAACCGCCGATACAGAGAACAGAAAAACACGTTGGGAAACTGTCTTCCACCTACTTAGTGCATTGTAATCGTGCTGCTACGCCTGCAAAAACAGGTGGAAGTCTAATTTGCCCCAACATCCCGATGGGGAAAATCGAAATAAATTGGACTGGAGTGGCATAAACTCGCGTCGAGCCCGACATACAATCTACACGCCCGATGATGACCCCCCCCAGAAAGTGCTGCTGACATAGCTCATGGACAGAGTTCCTTACGGCCCCGAGACCCTTGACCCCCCAAAACTGTCCAACCCTGCCAGTTGTNCCCCCCCCCCCCCAGATGTTTATTCGCTTTGGCCGGTGTGCATGTGTCCGAAATTGCACACCGTACGAGTTAGAGCTGTGGCGTGGCGACACTGTCGGGCATGCTGCCCCGCCCCCCACAAGACGCCTAAAGCCCGCGATACGACTTCCCTACTACGAGCTCCCTCAAGCGCTTGTGCTTGGCCTACCTTTCCCGTCCTCCCCTCCCCTGGCCACCCTGCGACTCCACCGCAAAACGGCAAGCTCGCCCTACTTGTTTTCTTCACGCACGTCGATCAGACTACGAAAGATACAAACAAAGCGTGGGAATCCTACCGGACGTACACGATAACAACGGCACGCTCGGCGTACAGCAGGCACGCCGAGAAGAGCTCAACGTGCAATTGATAGGTTCATGACAGCGCGGCTTCCGAGAAAAAGCAGCGGCGCCGTAGCACAACACGAGACACAGCACCATACCATATACCATCGACCAAACCCACAAAACCAAATACACCCAGCTTGCCCTTCTCCCGTCACCCGGTATCTTGTCAAACTACAACACAAACGAATTCAATTAATCATCAACGATCCCATGACACAGGCATACAACGAAACGATATTGTACACCAGGTTGATAGACAACCAATAAGACTATTATAGACGCGCAGGTACATATACTATTGGGCTTGCCTGTGTTTCACCCCCCCCGCAAAATTGACGACAACACGGCAGACCCTTGCCGATGCTGTCTAGCGTTTCCAGTCAGTGTGGGCCTGAGATCCCCCAAAACTCTCCCACGTTGAACGCAGGCATATGTTCCCGAGGCCCTACAAGTACAGTGCAAAACCTTCGAACAAAATGGCCAATTGCCTTTTCGATGCTCCTCAGATGCTTCCAGCCAGCCGCCACTCTGATTAACCCACATACGCCATGACGCCAGCCCCATTCAAACGACGACGAGATCAAATTCACGAATCCCACAAGTATCCCCTTTCAACCGTGAACAAAAGTACAACAGTTGCCGATGAACAAACGGAACACGGTGTTGTCGAAGAAGCCCCCGTTTGCCGCGATTCTGAATGCAGCACATGACCTCAAAATTGACAAGGTCACCAAAGACCTTATCCATGCATGCCAAGCATATTTTACCTGTCAACCCTCCGACAAGATAACGCCACAAGAAAGTCCCCCCTTTCCCCTCATACACCCTTCCGTGGCGTGGGTAACACAAGATGACAATGGCTACGACCTAGTAGGGATACCATGGTCGGCAATTTGTTTCCGTGGTGACAGACAGCATGCAGCCCATAGACCCAAAAATGCCGTACAAAGCTCGTTAATACCATGGCAGTAAATACTCACCAGGACACACGAAAATCCCACCACTCATTACTCCTTTGTACCTCATACTACCTCAAAACGCAACACATATGAACCACCTAAACGTAGGTCAACCCTTCAGGGATTCCGAACCACTTGTCGTTCAGCCCTCCTTGGGGCAGAACCCAAGCAGTACCACACAGCGCAAAAACAAGTACAATCCATCTAAAGTCGAAGAGTTTGACAATTTTACTCTAATCGACTAATGAAAGGTTGCAGATAAACGTGTACAGGGCGGCCGATTCTCCCTCTCGGCAGTTTTCCGTTACCGAGGGAAACTCTCCAAGAATGGTTCATGACCACAATTTCCCGCGCGAATGCAACCCCCCCGCACAGCGCCACCCCTTCACACCACAGAGCAAGAAAGAGCGTTGCGTTTCGGAGCCTACTAAAACCAAAAAACGAGACAAGCTCCAAAAACCACCCACCTGGGTAGGTGACCATATAAAAAAAGGGTCCCATCTCCCCAATGTCTGTGGAGGACGATTCCCCTCATTTCACACACGGCACTCTCTCGAAACGTAAACGACGCGAAATACCACTATCGACGCATCAAAAGACAACACAAGACACCAAGAAGATAAATACACATATCAGACAATAAACACAAATGGGTGAAAACACAAACCCAACTGAATTCCAACGTCGGAAACTTGACGAAAGGAGCAATCAGAAATCACACACCCTTACCAAACACCTGCCGTTCTTCAGGACGGCAGGCTTACATATATACAACACGAATAAAAACAGAACATGAAAACAATATCACTCAAAACATCAAGCACGGAGAGCTCGACCGCTTAACTCACGGTGGTCAAACCGCGAACATTGTGTCGACGAGAATGCTCAGCTCAGCTCATGCAAGCCAAGCCTCGCCGAGGGTGTTGACAGCCACCTTAGAAAGAGGCCACCCTCCGGATGGGCGCGCTTCCGAGAAACGGGAGCGGCACCCTCGCGCCGGTCCGCGGATCGATCCGGGGATCCCTCCCCGTCTCGAGAATCGGCAGTTGCGTTTCCCGCCTTATTTCCCTCCGCACCTCGGCGGCAGCGCGGGGGCAGGCTAGCTCTTCCGCCCTCGCCGGCCCCACGGCAACGCTCCCCGGGGACCTCATGGCCGCATCCCCCCGCGATCCCGCTTCTCGCCAAGGAAACCCACGCGCGACGGAAGCGACATTGGGCGCAGTACCCGGGGTGACCACGGCGGCTTTAGCCAGCACCGGCCACTCACGTCTTTCCGGGGATGCCGCTTGTTTTGGTTGCTGAGGAATGAAGACGTCGGCATGGACTGTGGCGGTCGACTCGGCTACAACCGCCGTTTCCACCGCGTTCGAAGTGATGGCTGCGGAGGATCCAGCCTGCTCGTTTACGGCGTGAGGGGGGGTCATGCCGCCGCCGTCATTTTCTCTTTCCCACTCCCCTGCCACAGCAACACGCTGGTCGTCCAACAGCCCCGAGAGACGTTTCACGCCGACAAGCACACCGGCGTCGTCAAGCTCCACGTGAGGCTCATGGGTCTGGTGTTCGGGGGAAGGAGGCGGGGGGCGCGGCAGCACCGCTTGCGAAGCCCGCGAGCAACCACCGCTGTCGTCGCAGTCGCTGTCGTAGCCGCCATCACCTCGACTGCCGCACGAAGGTTTCGACAACAGGTCATCGTCATCATCATGCGCTGCCACCGCGGAGCCGCTGCGACTGCTCGAAAGGCCAGCGCTTGTCGCGGTCGTTGGAGACGTCGCAACCGGGGACGAGCCGGGTCGGTCGAACTCGTCTTGGCCAGGCGTTCCTTGCCCAGCCCTGCTCGGGGGCGTTACCTCTCCGTCGCTCTCCTTTTCCTCACGCGCTGCTTTAAAGTACGCACGCCTGAGGAAGTCGAGAAAATAGGGGGAAGAGGAGGGAGAGAGGAACGGAGGGCGTCACCGTCCGTCTTTTGTAAGGTGCGATTGTTCCGTTTCTGTCCTTCGGGCCAGCTTATCAATTAGGTTTTCGGTGCATGTCATGCACGGGAATTGATTCCTTGGTGCAACCAACCTGCCACGGCGCATGACGCATGCAACCAGAGCAGGCGCACCAAACTCACAGACTTCGTAATACAAGTACGACGGGGGATGTGCTCCATTTACACGCTGCAAAGGCTCGACATACACCTGACCCAATGACCGAATCAGTCGTGACAAAACAGGGTACACAACAGGGTACTAAAAACAAACCTGAAGTCGCAGTAGTCCCTCTCCCCCCACCAAATGTCAGTCTTCATGGACGAAAGCTCCAGGCGAGACGCGACCAAAACCACCCGGATCTGATTGCTGAATCTCACGGCCTTGGGCATCGGCAGCGACGGCGGTGGGCGACACCCGGGTTCCGAGGGCCGGCGGGGTCGCGCCGCGGCGGGGGTAGCGGCGAACGGATGGCATCCCTCCGTAGCCGATCTGTCTCTGCCGCCGCCGCCGCCGCTCCCCCAGCCTCCGAAGCCGCCAGCGTCGCGGCGCGTACGTCCGTCTTCGATTCCGCTGGCGTCGAAGAAAAACAGGAACTTGACAAGGTTAAGGGCCGAGACCCTCCACGCCTCCAGAGGGTGACTCCTCGCCGGCGCCGCCTCCGCGGCGAACAGGTTGTCGTGGTGGTGACCGCCACCGCGTTGTTCTTGCGCTCCGCCTGGAAAGAAGGTCGGGGGTGGCTTTGCAGCCTGAGCTTCAGTCGCGCGGTTCGAACCCGGGCTAGAGGTTGCGTCGTGAGGTGTTGTTGCCTCCTGCAGTGGTGATGGTAGTGGCGGCGGCGGTTGCGGCGGCCGTAGCGTTTTGCTGTCGCTGCTGCCTTCGGGCCGTGCGGGATCTGCTGTTGTAGAATCGAGCGCATGGCGACACTGTGGTGGGGAGGCCCCGCCGTTGCTGTTGTTCCCGCTCGGCGTGGAGTTGATGAGGGGGCTGCTGCTTGCCAGCGCCGGAAAGCAGTCGAAGCCATCACGTCCAGCACAAGCGTCGGCACCGCCGCCGCCGCCGCTCGTGCTGTCGTTGCTGCTGTTGCTGCTGTTGCTGTTGGCGCGAACCACACGTACCCGTCTCCACCTCTGCTTTTTCGTCAACATGAAGAGTTCCACCGCCTCGGCAGATGAGCCTCTAAGAACGTTTCGTCTCGTCCCGGCCTCCTAGAAGCGCGCACAGGGAACCCAAGCCGCAGTGGTTACCGAACGGGATACGGGTGAGTAACGCGTGAGCTGTGCAGGAAAAATGGGCAACAAGTAAAAAAGTTCTCCGAAAAAAATTGTCATGAACAACGATAGCCTTGACAGTACCCAGGCGCATGACACAACCAACCGGACGAACTTGTCGCGCAGCTTGGTGGGGAATCCAAGGCAACATCCGAAATGGCAAATGAGCAAGGTTCGTCGTTATTTGCCCTAAGAGTTTTGAAGGCTCCATCCCCTCAAACATGCATGCATTTTCCATGGACGATACCGTGCCCAAGACACAATATCTGCCTCTGTTCTTGTTTCTTTCCCGACGAAGTCTGCAAGTGTCCAAATATACGGAGTGAGTTTGCACTGGTCGCTGGCATGAAGTCAAACTTTTGGGTCGCAACTGAGTACGCAGAAACAAACGGTGGATCCAACAGTGTTTGACCGAGTACATCATACATCCCCTTGGGCCTAGTTTCAATGATCGATACTCCACAGGAGCACAAGCGCCGGTGCCGAAAAGGGCAGAGTTTAAAGTTTCCCTCGAAAATTCTCATCGATCGCTCTCCAAACTGGTGCATTTCGGTTCCGGTGCCCTCTTGGTAATGGAGCAGTCGACCCTTGGCAATCGGACCGCCTTCGCGAGAAATGAAGTTTATGAGGAAATAGAACAGGGAGGGGGTACGCAGACCCTATCCCTAACCCTAACCCCAACCCAACTTCCCCGATGGCATGCGCTAATCCAACATGTTTACTTGATCGAAATACCCTGCCAAGGCTACTGTGGCAATCGGTCCAGGGGCGTTTGATATACACGGTGAAACACGGTATGTGCCTGCTGCACCACTAGCTTCGGCTTAAAAAAAACGAGGGAGAGACAGAAAAGAGAGATGCGCACATCGTCTAGAAATACAGGAGAAGCGCAAACACAACAAGAGCGGGCGATTTTTCGCCGAGCAAGCCCGCGCGGCTCACGAAGCTCCAACAAGCGAACGACAACGAAACACGCTCCGTTTCTCTCTCTCTCTCTCTTTCTGTCTCGCGCGTTTTGCTTCTTTCGTCATGAAACGTATGCATAGTTCTCCGCAATCCCTGGATGGATCCACACTTATCTAGCTTCTACGTTGTCGTTCCCTCCCAAAATGTAAATGTGCGAGACTGCCGTACACCATTACTGAGAACCCCCATCCCCCCCGCTTGGTGATGTGAGAGCCTGGTCCGGAAAGAACCCGGCGCGCCCCGTCCCGGCTTTGTAGACATGCGAAGTCAATCGTCTAAC